CACATTTGCCCTCCACTACAAGAATACCATGAAATCAGTTTCGGTGACAATTGGCGAGCGATGCGATGATAAGTCACTCATAATACTAGTGAATGGTTTGCGCGAAATGCGAGCATTAAAGGCCATACATCTAGATTGTCGGCAAAGGGTATGGTTTAGTGTGTTAGTGACGGCACAGTTATCACGTGCGAAATGGCCGCACATCCAGAGACTGGCGCTGGACGTGGATCTCATATCGAGGGACAGTTTTTGTCAATTAATTTTAACAATTAATCAAAACTTTGCGGCCATAAAACGGCTCAGAATCGGCGGTAATATTCCCGTAACGTTTGTATTATGCGCTCAATCGTTGGACAATTGCCGCCGTTTAACGCATCTGACCATTAAATGCAACGGATTTTGTATTAATCGCACATTTTTTGATAAAATTGTACTAAATTTTCCCTCTCTTCAGGACATTAATTTATCGGCGCTTACATTAACTGCCGATGCGATCAAAGGGGCGCAAAGTTTGCCCAAATTGACACACATAATATGTTAGCTCATAAAACTGTTTACAAAATTAACAATTGGTTGTAGTTAATTTCATAATTGGAGTCCTTAGATGGAGTCCACTGTTTGATGAGTTCCCTGTATAAAACTAAATTAACATTGTATATTATTTGTTGCTAATAGTTTTTTCAAACAACATGATTTGTAATGAATTTTTAATGTTAATATTTTATATTTATGAATTAATATAAATACGCTATATCATTAATTTTGTATTCAATATTGTTTTTAATTTGTTGATTGAATAACATGGTGATTTATTAGAAACTACTTTTGTTTTAATGCTATTTTATAATCACATGGATTGTAAGCATCAGATTTATTAGGATCGGCTTCAATGCCGTTATGGCTGTCGAGGACTAACTCATAGTCTTGTGTGGACTGAAGTAATCGGACCAAAACCAGGAACAGGTCAGCGATGGCCAACTTCTCTCCCGGACAGACACGACGGCCCACACCGAAGGGTATGAACGCTTTGGGACGGGTTGTGATGAATTGTCCCTCACTATCAATAAACCTCTCGGGTTTGAATTTATTGGTATTTTGCCAATCCTTGTCATTATGGCATATGATTCCGTGGTATACAATAACTGACATATTTTTAGGTATTGTGTATTTATCTAAAATAAAAATAAAAATCCCCAATTTAGTTAACTTTCCAAATATTTTTATAATGTATTAAAATTTAATACCAAGTATTGTATTAACAAGGGCTTTGTGTGGAAGTCCAGTGGGCGCAACATTTCTAACTCTCAGGGTCTCAGCGATGAAAGCCATGACATAATGGCATCGATTCCTGTCCTCATGTGTTGGCATTCGGTCTCCGATTTGGGACTCAATCTCTTGTCTCAACTTCTGCTGCATTTCCGGATAATAGCAAACAAATAGTAAAAGCCATTGAAATGTTCCCTGAGATGTATCTGTTCCGGCAAAGAATAGGTCCATAACAGTCATCGCGAGGTTGGCGTCCGTGAGATAAGGGGCCGACTCTTTGCCGTCTCTGAGGGCGTCATTCTTAGCACTGATGAGTGCATCGCAAAAGTCTCTCTCAATTGACTCGTTATAGTCGTCGAAATGTTTGGTAAACTTATCCTTAATTAAAGCAATGATTTCATTGATGAGTCTATCATTTTTTTGAACCATTTTTCGGTCTAAAAATCTAATTATTGACGAGAATTCCCATAAAAAGGCTCGAGCGCCGAGTTCTTGTCCGAAGTCTTTTAACACATATTTAATAGATTTAAATTCTTTGTCTTCAAAATCATAACTGAATATTTAAAAACATTGATTAAACTAATAGTCAATACATATTTAATATAACAAACCTCTGTCCAAAAGCACTGGTGGCCAATATGTTTAGAAATAATAAATAGATATAATCTTTTGGATTGAATGCATTACCGACTCCTTCCCTCTTTAACATTGCTTTAACCGTACGATCGACTGAATCGGTGGCCACAGAGACTAGTTTTACATTAATTGAATATTTCCTGTTTAATACATTAATGTAAAAATATAATGACTAATAACTAACATCATAAACGCGAGACATACTGTACGGCCGAATGTGCCACTCGTCTCAACGCCTCCCATCTGTGCCCGTAATCGGCAAATACTACGTCCGAGTGCTTATCATTAGACAATAGATGCGCTGTTTAACATAAATATTATTTTACTAAATTATTTGTAAATAAAAGTAAGTTTAAAACACATTTACCAATATATGACATGTCTCTGCCGGCGAAGTCATTCTTCTTGAAGGTCTCTCTCGCCATCTCTACGTCCGTCACAACAACTTGTGGTCTATTGAAGAACCAAAAGGTGAATACCGGGCCGTATTGTTTGGCCAGTTCTCTGAACACTACATCCCAATGATCTTTCCGTTTGAATACTGTTTAAAAGTTAAAAGTTTTAATTTAATTATTTTTTATTTGATATTTAAAACTCACGTAAAATATTGCCAATGAGTGGCAGTGGATGCGGTCCGGGAGGCAGTTTAGACCGTAAGTGATAGAACCTTGCTAATTTATATGCAATGTAGCCTATTATTAAACTTATAATAGTTGTACTGATATTGTCCATTAATAAGGAGATTAATTGTGTTAATAATGTCATTACTTTAAATTATTTACAAAATAAATAAATAATGATGTGGTTCAATTTATTGTTAAATAATCTGTCGAAACAATTTTATACATAGGAATATGACAATTTTCACTTTATATACAAAAATAATAATCTTCCAAGGTCGAATAAATAACTTGTAATTCACACACTTATTTATTAAACAGCACTAAACTCTAGTACATTAAAGCCAACATGGACTTAAATATCAATAATACATTATGCTGATAAATATTTTATTACAATTATACGATGCTGATAAATCTATCAAATTCTACGAAACGCCTAGTGTAAATAAATTGTTTTATTAAACGTGTGATATAACAATGGCATAGCATTGAAATTGATTAATACTTTACTAATAATATTAAGTTAATAATATCTACTCAACTTGTACTGTAGTTATCTTATAAATACTTATTAATAACTTATATAATTGATATATTATATTAATAATAAGTTATCAAATAATCATTTTAGTTATTGATTGATTAAATATTTAAATATTTTACTATTATTAAATACGATATTATTATTTTTAATTAAAGGTAATTTGTAATTGTTATACAGTCAATTAATACTTATTACAGTATAATCTATTATTAGGTTTTAAATTTAATGACAACTGTATTTAATAATGTAAATACTGTATAACTTACAACTTATTATACTTATAACTTACGACTTTTAAATATACAGATAAAGATATCTGTATTTGTTTAGTTATAGTTATTAATAATGTTTATCTTTTTAATAAAATATATTTTTCTTCATAAGACTCAATTTTAATTATGTTTAATATTAATTTAATTACTATAATAATTATCTGCATTTCTCAATAGATGCTGTCATGTGATCATTAATTGGACAAAACAATGTACGGCAGAGACAGTCTCGACAGATATGGCGACGACTTGTGTCAAGTCTTGTTGTCTTACCTCTCATTTGACCAGAAATTCAAATACGAAAGCGTTTGCAAACAATGGCAACGATTGATATACAATAGCCAGACATCACTTGTGTTTAACAAACAATTATATGCGTGTTTAACGGCTAATCCGGCCATTAATTTGCCGGCGTTTAAGTGTATCATTAAAAAGTGCCCAAACATTGAACACATAGACTACTCGTACGGATTGCTATCCAACGAAATTCTGGATTTAATCTGTGTTTACGGCAAACACTTGACAGCCATTGAGTTCAGGAGACGGCTGGACATCAGTGCCGATAAATTGGAGGTATTTTTTGCACAGTTTGGCCCACAATTGCAATGTGTCCGCAATATCGACACCTACTATAACCCCATTAAAGGTAATCCGGTGGAGAAACACCTGCACCGGTGCCCCAATGCCCGGGAAATCAGTGTCTACTCCTTGAGCACTGACTCTGGTCAGCACATCTCAACCATGTTTGGACTAAACAATACATTAATGTTCAAAATGCTTCAAAAAATAACCATCACTTATTTCGACGCCAACTCTGTGCCAGCCTTTCACACATTTGCCCTCCACTACAAGAATACCATGAAATCAGTTTCGGTGACAATTGGCGAGCGATGCGATGATAAGTCACTCATAATACTAGTGAATGGTTTGCGCGAAATGCGAGCATTAAAGGCCATAATATGGCCTTTAATGCTCGCATTTCGCGCAAACCATTCACTAGTATTATGAGTGACTTATCATCGCATCGCTCGCCAATTGTCACCGAAACTGATTTCATGGTATTCTTGTAGTGGAGGGCAAATGTGCGAAAGGCTGGCACAGAGTAGGCGTCGAAACAAATGATGGTTATTTTTTGAAGCATTTTGAACATTAATGTATTGTTTAGGCCAAACATGGTTGAGATGTGCTGACCAGAGTCAGTGCTCAAGGAGTAGACACTAATTTGCCGGGCATTGGGGCACCGGTGCAGGTGTTTCTCCACCGGATTACCTTTGATGGGGTTATAATAGGTGTCAATATTGCGGACACATTTTAATTGTGGGCCAAATTGTGCGAAAAAGGCCTCCAATTTAGCGGCACTGATGTCCAGCCGTCTCCGCAACTCAATGGCCGTCAAGTGTTTGCCGTAAACACAGATTAAATCCATTATTTCGTTGGATAGCAATCCGTACGAGTAGTCTATGTGTTGAATGTTTGGGCACTTCTTAACGATACACTTAAACGCTGGCAAATTAATGGCCGGATTAGCCGTTAAACACACGTATAATTGTTTGTTAAACACAAGTGATGTCTGGCTATTGTATATCAATCGTTGCCATTGTTTGCAAACGCTTTCGTATTTAAATATCTGGTCAAATGAGAAGTAAGACAACAAGACTTGACATTAGTCGTCGCCATATCTGTCGAGACTGTCTCTGCCGTACATTGTTTTGTCCAATTAATGATCACATGACAGCATCTATTGAGAAATGCAGATAATTATTATGGTAATTAAATTAATTTTAAACATAATTAAAATTGAGTATGTAGAAAAATATATTTTATTAAAAACATAAACATTATTAATAACTATAAGTTATAGTCTATAACTAAACAAATACAGATATCTTTATTTGTATATTTAAAAGTCTTAAGCTATAAGTATTTACATTATTAAATACAGTTGTCATTAAATTTAAAACATAATAATAGATTATACTATAATAAGTATTAATAGACTGTATCACAATTACAAATTACCTTTAATTAAAAATAATAATCTCGTATTTAATAATAGTAAAATAGTTGAATACTTAATCAATCAATAACTAAAATGATTATTTGATAACTTATTAATAAGTAATTATAAGATAACTACATGTTGAGTAGATATTATTAACTTAATATTATTAGTAAAGTACTGTATTAATAAATTTCAATGCTATGCCATTGTTATATCACACGTTTAATAAGACAATTTATTTCTACTAGGCATTTCGTAGAATTTGATAGACTTATCTGCATTGTATAATTGTAATAAAATATTTATCAGCATAATGTATTATTGATATTTAAGTCCATGTTGGCTTTAATGTACTAGAGTTTAGTGCGAATAGGTTTAATAAATAAGTGTGTGAATTACAAGTTATTTATTCGACCTTGGGAGATAATTATTTTTTGTATATAAAGTGAAAATTTTTATATTCCTATGTATAAATATTTTCCCCAACACATAATTTTGCAATAAACTAAATCACATCATTATTTATTTGTTTTGTAAATAATTTAAAGTAATGTCATTATTAACAAAATTAATCTCCTTATTAGTGGACGATATGAGTACAACTATTATAAGCTTAATAATATGTTATATTACATATAAATTAGCAAGGTTCTATCATGTACGATCTAAACTGCCTCCCGGACCGCATCCACTGCCACTCATTGGCAATATTTTACGTGAGTTTTGAATATTAAATAAAAAATAATTAAATTAAAACTTTTAACTTTTAAACAGTATTCAAACGGAAAGATCATTGGGATGTAGTGTTCAGAGAACTGGCCAAACAATACGGCCCGGTATTCACCTTTTGGTTCTTCAATAGACCACAAGTTGTTGNAAACAGTATTCAAACGGAAAGATCATTGGGATGTAGTGTTCAGAGAACTGGCCAAACAATACGGCCCGGTATTCACCTTTTGGTTCTTCAATAGACCACAAGTTGTTGTGACGGACGTAGAGATGGCGAGAGAGACCTTCAAGAAGAATGACTTCGCCGGCAGAGATATTTCATACATTGGTAAATGTGTTTTATACTTATTTTTATTTCCAAATAATTTAGTAAAATAACATTTCTGTTTAACAGCCAGTTATTTGTCTAATGATAAGCACTCGGACGTGGCATTTGCCGATTACGGTCACAGATGGGAAGCGTTGAGACGAGTGGCACATTCGGCCGTTCAGTATGTCTTAGTTTTAGAAAATTATCAATTAAAATCAAATACATATCTGTTATAATAAATTATATTAAAATAGGAAATATTCAACAAATGAAAGACTAGTTTCTGTGGCCACCGATTCAGTCGATCGTACGGTTAAAACAATGTTAGACAAGGAAGGAGTGGGCAATGCTTTTAATCCGAAAGATTATACCTATTTGTTATTTCTCAACATATTAGCCACGAGTGCTTTTGGGCAGAGGTTTGTTATATTACATATGCAGTGAATATTATTTTAACTATAATTAATGTTTTTAAATATTCAGTTATGAATTTGAGGACAAAGAATTTAAATTTATTAAATATGTGTTAAAAGACTTCGGACAAGAACTCGGAAGCAGAGCTTTCTTATGGGAATTCTCATCAATTATTCGATTATTAGACCGAAAAATGGTTCAGAAAAATAAAGAATTAGTAGAAAAAATTATTGCTTTAATTAAAAATAAATTTACAAAACATTACGACGACTATAACGAGTCAATTGAGAGAGACTTTTGCGATGCACTCATCAGTGCTAAGAATGACGCCCTCAGAGACGGCAAAGAGTCGGCCCCTTATCTCACGGACGCCAACCTCGCGATGACTGTTATGGACCTATTCTTCGCCGGAACCGATACATCTCAGGGAACATTTCAATGGCTTTTGCTATTTATTTGTTATTATCCGAAAATGCAGCAGAAGTTGAGACAAGAGATTGAGTCCCAAATCGGAGACCGAATGCCAACACATGAGGACAGGAATCGATGCCATTATGTCATGGCTTTCATCGCAGAGACACTTAGATTCAGAAATATCACACCTCAAGGTTTACCTCATAAGGCTATGGTTAGGAGTACTATCGGTAAGAATTAAATATATAATTGATAAATTATGTATTAAATATACGATGAACAACGTACTATTATTTGTATTAACATATAAACTTCTTTTAGGCAATTACACAATACCTGAGAAAATGGGAATTATGGTATATCAGGGAATCATATGTCGTAACGACAAAGATTGGCAAAACGCCGATGAATTCAAACCCGAGAGGTTTTTGAATAGAGAGGGACAGTATTTGGTTACCAGACCTCAAGCCTATATACCCTTCGGTGTGGGCCGTCGGGTCTGTCCGGGAGAGAAGTTAGCCATCGCTAACTTATTCCTGGTTTTGGTCCGATTTCTTCAGTCCACACAAGACTATGAGTTAGTCCTCGACAGCCATAACGGCATTGACGTCGATCCTAATGTTACCGATACTTTTTATCCGTGCAGTTATACAATTGCATTAAAACAAAAATAATTATTTATCAATTATAATATTTGCCATTAAGTGGTTTGCATTAAAATTATATTAACAAACAAAATATTGTTATCAATTAATAAAATATTATTATTATTATTACAGTAAATAAAAGTTAAAAAATAATATAAGTTTGAAACATTTTATATTTCAATCAATGGCACACAATGGATGAACAAGTAGTTAAATACTCGAAAAGTATAATCACTGGTCAGCCGATAAACATATAATTACGACAAACAAATCGGAATTCAATGGACTCTTAAATACTGTACACTAAATTTCTAATAAAATATATATCTTAAAACTTGTATTATTAAGGAAATGCAGTATGTATTATTATTATTATTATTATTATTATTATTATTATTATTATTATTATTATTATTATTATTTATCAACTATAATTGATAATTATGATTAAGTAAATCAACTGTCTTTAATGTACTAAAATGTAGAACATAAGGACTTTGTAAGATACAATCAGATATAGAGCCAATCAGATAAGTCGATTTTGCAAGGATATATTTATATATATATGATTTATATTTTATATATTAAATAAATCAGTTAATTGCTATAACCTTGAGCAATTGTATATAAAATTTTGTATAAAAGTCGCGATTGTTATATACTTATTTTATAGTTGTTTTTACCATTAACATATTTAGTCCATTAAGTTAATTTACATAGTATTTAACTTGTGAATGTAAAAATGTCTTTGCCAACAAAATTAATATCACTATTAGTGGCCGATATTTGCACCACTATAATAACTCTAATTATAGGCTATATTGCATATAAATTAGCAAGATTCTATCATTTAAGGTCTAAACTGCCTCCTGGGCCTAACCCGTGGCCAATCATCGGCAATATATTACGTGAGTAAATGATATTAAAATACAATTTGTTTAATTTTTAAAACTTTAAAACAGTATTCAAACGGAAAGATCATTGGGATGTAGTGTTCAGAGAACTGGCCAAACAATACGGCCCGGTATTCACCTTTTGGTTCTTCAATAAACCACTAGTGATGGTGACGGACATCGAGACGGCCAGAGAGGCCTACAGGAAGAATGACTTCGCCGGCAGAGACGTGTCATATATTGGTAAATATGTTTAGAATATAGTTTTAATTAAATAAAATGTAATAAAAGTAAATCCAACTAGTTACATAGTTATATAATTATCATTATCTTAAATAGTTTCTCAATTTTCAAATGAAAAGCAATCGGACGTAATATTTGCCGATTACGGCCACAGATGGGAGGCGTTGAGACGAGTGGCACATTCGGCCGTACAGTATGTCTCGATTTTTAGGCAGTCGTTAATTAGAAAATTTTATGAATTAATTGTTTTAAATTTAATAACATTAGGAAATATTCAACAAATGATAGACTTGTTTCAGTGGCCGCCGATTCAGTCGATCGTACGGTTAAAACAATGATTGAGAGGGAAGGAGTGGGCAATGCTTTCGATCCCAAGAGTTATATCTATCTAATGTTTCTCAACATATTAGCCACCAGTGCTTTTGGCATTAGGTTTTTTATATTGAATATATCCTTAATCTTTGTAATTAATTGTTTAAAATATTATAAAGTTATGACTATGAAGACAAGGAATTTAAATTTCTTAAATACGCTGTGAGTGACTTTAATAAAGAAGTTGGCAGTCGTTTCTTCTTATGGGAATTCTCGCCATTAATACGATTATTAGACCGAAAAATGGTTCAAAAACATCAGAGACTTGTTAAAGAATTGATTGATTTGGGAAGAAATAAGTTTATAAAACATTACGACGACTATAACGAGTCAATTGAGAGAGACTTTTGCGATGCACTCATCAGTGCTAAGAATGACGCCCTCAGAGACGGCAAAGAGTCGGCCCCTTATCTCA